ACCCCTGTGCCATCACCGTGGCAATGAGATGCTGTTCCGCCTCCACCGTGCGACGATCGGCCTGGGAGGCGGAGGAATTAGAGTCTGCTGCTTGGGCGGCCTTGGCCTTAGCAAGGGCAGCTTCGGCCGCGGCCCCCTTCCCCTTCCGATTCTTGAGGAGCTTCTCGTGATTCATTTGCTCCTGAGTTGGGGGAAGACCTGAAAGAAACAAGGGAAAAGGGTTAGATGGACGAACAGCTGGAAGAACTCACCTCGGAGGAGAGGACCGCCCAATACCCCGAGACGAGCGTAGAAGGGGAGATGTCCAAGAGCATGGGCGGTACCTATTCCTGCCGCGGCGAGCGCCTCGAAGGTTAAGAAATCATCTAAGGGCCGGATGCCGCCCGTCGAGATCTTTCTGATGTCCTCCTCCAGGTCATTGGTTAGCTCCGGGGATCCTATCTTGGGCGGATAGCCGTTCCAACGCAATGGTAGACGAGCATCCGCGTACCGCACGAAGAAGAACCGGTTCTTCCAGTCATGGATGGAACTCGGTGCTCCGCTGAACAGCCTCCGTTTTGGACGAGCTGCAATGCTCAGGAAACCGTCAGAATTTTGGGGAGTGAGCCGGTAGAAGTAATGGAACAAGTCCAAGGTGGCGGTGACCCCACTGTCCCTGCAGCGGACTAGGAAGGCGGAGACGAACCGATAGGAGTTCGGCATGAGCTGTGTGGGGGCTATCTGATAACAACAGAAGAATTCCACGAAGAACGGATGAAGAGGGAAGCGCAGCCCAGCCTCGATGGAGTCCAGGAGCACCATAACCATCCCTGGACGTCTCCTCATCACGTGGGTTGCACCGCGCAGGCTGTATACGGACGGAGGGGGGAAGAACACCTTTAATTTGTTGAGGGCCACCTGCGAGAAGATCTGTTCATGACACAGGACGTTCTTGATCGGGCACAGATGCCTCTCCACGTCTATCTTCAGCCCAAGATCGAATATCTCAATGTCGGAGCCGTCCTGGGCTTCAACCCCAGAATCATACCCATCTGGACGCTCGTCCTCACCGGCGGATTCCCGTTCCCCGGCATCAGTTACAGGGTCCACCACATCGAGGGCCATATTCCCTTGCTCCCCCAGGTCAGCACCTTCTTCGCCAGGAACCACCACAGCAACCACGTCTTGGGCATCCCCGGCCTGGACCGTTCCCACGGTAGAGGCTGAGCCGGAACTCCCGGAAGTGCTAGTCTCACCCGAGGAGCGTGGACCAGAGTCAGAGGAGGAGCCCGAAGAAGAACCCGATGAACCCGAACCAGAACTCGACGAGATCTCCATCGAAACCATCTCGGCAAGAATTCAAGACAAAGAAAAGAAGCAGGGGGTGGAAATTACCTTAGCAAGGAGTTAGCCGAGCTTGAAAACCAGAAAAGACTTGAAGGACTGCAGGAGAGCGAAAATTGGGAACCCTAATTTAGGGGGGGAACCCGGCATTTATAGGAGAAGCACCGATGAAGAAACCAACGAGGGGCTGACACGTGGCAAGGAGCGTATTCCGGCCCACGCGCTGTGCGTGGGATGGGAACGTAATGATGACGCTTCCTCGGGAAAATGCGCCGCCGCAACATCAGCCGTCACCTCGTTCCCTGAACCGTCAACAGCTGTCAAGCACCATGACCACGAACGTATGCTTCCAACAGCTGTCAAGTACCAAGATACGGACGTCTACTTCGGAGAGGTTCATACTTCCTTATGTCCTGCGCATGCTCAGAACATCACAAGTGGGGGACTTGTGTTGGGTTAAGGGCCCAAGCCGAGGTTCGGCCCACTAACCCATTTTGCTAGACGAACGTCCAGTTAGAACACTAGGCCAGCCCACAGGCCCATGTGCCACGGGGATGGACGAACGTCTAGTGTTGGAGGACTCAGGCCCAGCAGCTCATCCCGACGAACGTCTATGCAGGGACAAGGAGCAGGACCACGGGCCACCAGGAATGACGACGAACGTCCCCAGAGCAAGCCTGTAGTCATCGGAGAAAACCCTGTCCACATGGTGAGTATCCACCAAGGCCAGGAGACGAACAGCCGATATCTCCCAAGGGTCCCTTGGAGCAATCCAACTCACTTCCCGGTGGACGAACGTCCCCACTAATCCGGCGGGAAACCTAGATTCTGGCGGGAAGTGCATTTAATGCTTAAGATTAAAAATTAAAAGTTGAGATTATTTATAGGGATTACTTGTTATATCTCATCTCATCCACTTTAGAAACTACAAGAATTTATTCATATAGACCATTATTGGCGGAAGGTCCCTAAAGTTGGGATTATTCTGTAATAATCAATAGTTGAGATTATTATGAGCGGACCGCCAATAGTTGAGATTATTACTATCAATTTTTCCTAGAGATTATTTAGATTATTATTTTTTCCTATAATAAATACTCCCTCCATCTTGAAAAGGTTTGCCAAATTTTCTTTTTTGAATGTCCCAAAAAGATTTGTCATTTCCATTTAAAGTAAGGAATATGTGGCTAAAGTTAATTCTCTCTCATCTGCATAAATTTCAACCACACAATTATTATTATATTAATTCACGTGAAAGTCAAAGTTGGCGAACCTTTTCGGGACGGAGGGAGTACAAAGAACTATGTTGAGTTTAATTTTTCTATCATTATAAAGAAAATACGGGTAACTTTTATAAAAGTGCAAGCCATTTATATTTTCAAAATAAATTTTGAATAGTCGTCTGTAGGAACTAAGATTGGGACCACCCGTTTTAGTCCCTAAATCTTTAAACTGGGATCGTGTCGATACTCCTCTTGGGGGCATAGGGCCGGTCCTAGGCCCAAAACCGGATAAAATGGACTCGATCTGTGCCCAAACGGTGTCGGACCCGGTTTCTGGCCTAGTCACCAGATTGAGTCTATGCCTAGTTGAACCGGCATTAAAATAACTTGTTTCGTCATTGTTGATTATATGGGAAAACATTGATTCTTTGTCTTTCTATCATGTTAATATATCAAACTCTTCATCTATTACATTGTATAATAGCAAAAAAAACATTGTATAATAGATAATAAAAAAACTACGTTGGCTTTGATTTCTAATATGCCGGCAACTTCAATAAAATGCAAGTAAATTATAGAATGTTGTGTACTTTCTACCTCCGTCAAATTCATGTCCACTATTCTTCAAGTCAACGTAAAGTCTTTTTAATCATTTACTTTATATATGTAACTTGTATTAAATTTGAATTTTTCTTTTGCGACGTTAGTTATTAAATTTTTAATGTAGTTTCTGAATTTGTAAATTTTATTTACTAAAAAATCTAGTCACGAACAATGATTAATTAACTTTATGGTCAGTCAAACACCTTAAACCGTGTGAAAACCTGTCTACGAGACAGAGGGTACATAATAAAGTTTCTTATTCATACTAAATACTACGGAGTAAATGTTAGCACAATTTTTTTATACATTTTTTTTTTCACTTTGAATAAATGATGTTAAAAAAGGTGGGATCAGATGAGATCGAATCGAAACCGCCCGATCAACTCGAATCAAATTGGAACCACACAATATCACGGATCATTCCTGGGCCCTTTTTTTCTAGGGGACCGGGCCTGAAACAGACCGGGTCCACCCTACTCTTACCCTTTGATTAGGGATGGCAATGGGGCGGTTCGGGGACGGTTTTACATATAACCGTACCCGCCCCATTTGATAACTGCCCGCCCCATAACCGCCCCGTTACCCAACGGGTAATTTTTACCCGAACCATATCCGCCCCAACGGGTAACGGGTATAACTGTGGCTAACCGCGGGTAATCATTTTATTAAAAGAGTCATTGATATTTTAATATAAAAAATATATTTTAAAAGCCGAAAAATGGCATCACCTAGATGACTCTAGATTGAGACGCAACTTTAAAGTTTCGTATATCTACAAGACGAGAAAGAAGACAACATAAATTAATTTGAACCTAAAAATACTTAATCTGAAAAATATATAATTATTCACTAAAAATCTGATAATAAACAAACAACACTATTAAGATCTATTATGAACTCTCATTGAAACAGTATAGTTAGTACATCTATTATCCATATACACGATGAAAATAGAAAAGTTTCATCTTCTATTACTTATGGGACAAACAATAGATAAAAATGTAATAAAAATATAACTAAAAAATGGGGCAGGTACGGGGCGGGTAATGGGGCGGACATGTATAAAACCGTAACCGCCCCATTACCCGTAAAAACAAAACGGGTATTCCCCGCCCCATACCCGTTACCCGGTCAAAGCGGTTTTCCCCATTTTGACCGGGGCTGTTCGGTGCGGGTATCCATCGGATCGGTCACAATTGCCATCTCTACCTTTGATGTACACAAAAAGTTAAGTTTTCAAGAGAGAAAATTAGTCCCTAAAAATGATTTCCAACTTAATATTATTTTTTCAATTATGAATTTGCAGAAAACAAAAAATTTTGTTTAATTTCCGATATACACAACTATGGTTCAATTCAAAATGAACCTAAGCTAGCCCTACTAACAATAATAATAACAATTAAAATAACTCTCATGTTTAGTGTGATTTTAATCTGTTATAATATATAGGGTTTACTTATAAAAACATAGAACTTCATGATCATGTTAATTAAGTACGATTGCCTCTTAATGCACTTCTTCACTTTCTTCCAGAATTAATGCTCGTGCTAGAAAACGTTTATGGTGTTATGCCAATAATTGTTCAATCTCTTCACCTGTCATTGAATCTTGAGATCAAATATCAACCCATATTTTATTCATCTCAAGAGCTCGTGATGTTGAACCTTTAGGCATTTTCCATAACTCTCAAACGAAAAAGAATCAATAAAATTTCGTGAAGTACTGTCCAAATCAATTGACTTTATAGTGTTTGACATAATGACATGATTAAATCACTATACTAGTAGTGTTTAAACGACTTTTAAATCAGCTTTTAGGCGACTAAAATCCTCAAGAGAAAACTTGTTTGTAGGATAGAGTAATATTATGCTTTTAGTGCAAAAGAGCATGAAATTATCCCAGTATGACCAATTGAACCTTCCAGAAGAGCTGTAAGCTGACATCAGTGAAGACACTTTGAGCTCCACTCGGAGACAAAAGAAAGAATATACGTTGCTGTTAAATCATAAACGCAGCTTAAAATCTGCAGTATCCTATAGCTACAGCCTACATATAGACATATCTCATGAATAATATAGGTATAAATCGTGTCCTGAATTCTTCATCTCAAACCAGCTAAATGCCAATACTAATGTAAACACAACTCACGGCAAATTTAGTATGGTAGAAATTGCGTCCAATGAGTTTGGTCCACCTGAATGGGGCAGGAGATATCTTATCCACCATGAAGTGAAGATAAGCCTGTGGGCGAAGGGTGCACCAAGAAGTCATGTGGTTTAAATATATATCAGTGCTTTAGTGTAGAGGGTGATGGGGCCTTGCTAATCTTCTTCTGGTCTTGCACTGCCGAGCAGGTAGACTGTAATGAGGAAGAAGAAGATGATGATGACATGACAGCATGGTAAGAAGATGATGCAAGTTGTGCGACTGCTGGAACGGCACCACCTGCAGATTCATTACCATTATCATAAAATGGGAGTCAAATAAACTTGAACTCACAGTGTTTATACATATTAAGAGTATTATACAATTAATTGGCACTGCATATTTAATGTCATGGAACCCGATTAGTTGGATCAAGTGGTTAATAATGATGGTGTTTAGTCCCAAGGATTGACTTAAATTGTGCCAGCTAGCAAGCTTTTGATCCAGACCTCAACTACATGAAATCTGATGCTACAACAAAGCAACAGTGGTTATGTTGGCTGTGCTAATAAACAAAGTAATTATCTTTCGGAATATTTGGAATCATGAGGAAGAAGGTTACTCTAGTGCTATCATTCTTGAGAAAAAATCAGAATAGAAGCTAGTGTCAATGGAGTTCTAGGCTATGTTTGGTTTTGCAATCAAGCTGACAGCCAATAAGGGACTTTCCCTCATGAGTTATTAGTAACTTATAGTTGATATTAAAGTGTTTAAAAATTAAGCTAGTTTCAAAAAATAAAAATGATATAAAAAGATATTTTGAAATTTAAATGGTTTTCAAATAATAAGAGGTTAAATTTAAAACTGTAAATGAGAAGCTCAAAAGTTTACTTACCAAAAATATTACTTTTATGAGCTCAAGCTTATCAAATAAATCTCTCTAACCAAGTTAAGCTTAAGTGGTAGCTACTTACTGAAGCCTCCTGATTTTCTTCCTTTGACATTATACATTACCCTTCCCCATCCAACATATCCATGTGGAGTTTTGGTTGATGGATTTAATTAGGAAAAAGTAAACTAAATGTAAGGTGTTTAAAGTAAAGGATATGAAGTGACTACCATATGTGAGAGTTGTGAAAAACAACATATTTACCTGCCAATCCTGCACATGCTGATGAGAAAACAATAACAGGCGGAGCCTGCAATTAAAACAAAAATGTATTAGAAGAGAATTGATAAACCAAAACAAATTGGAGGGAGAAACACTTGCACTTTCAAAGTAATCTAGAGGCACATAGTAAGGAAGGAATAGCACACAAAACTATGCCTTCTTTCCTATAGCAGGAGGATTTAGAAAGTATATGTGGACACATGTTATGGGCCATTTATTAAACTAAATTTAATGGGCCTTATTTAAGTTACAACCACAGTTAAAGAAACAAAGAAAATCCTGCCTCAGAGAACGCATTGAGGCGTGCCTCAAGGCATACACCCTGACTTTTGAGGCGTAGGCCAAAAACCTAAGCCTCAATACCCAATGTATGTGCCTCACATTGTGGCACGCCTCAAAACAGCCTCTTACCCACCTTATCAAACCATGGTCCCACACACCCCCAACACTCAACCACCTCCAAAACAAACTAAACACACAGGAAACAGTTCTCACTCCTAACGAAAAGAAAAGTCAATTCCCTGGGCAATGGTTGGAACAAGAGGATAGAAACAATGGCTGTGGCAATAGTCTAATGCTTCAAATGAGAATAGTCTTTTTAACTCTGATTTCATGTGGTGGTAATGTTAGGCGACTCCAAACTGTTATTGTTGTTCAAATGGGTATAGTAAAAAATAAATGACGGCCTGATTGCCTGAAGAAACTTACCCCAACGAGGAAATGTAACCACATGGGACCTTTAATCCACTTTCGAACAATAGGCATCACTGAAGATAAACAAACACTCGTATAAGATTAAACCATTTAAAATAACTACTATGTCACAATCCTTATTAGTAGAGAATACAGTTACAACATGAAGTCATGAAGATGTTATAAATTATAGAAATCACTATTCTTTAAATACAAAAAATTATCTGATCATTCAAATATTTGAATATTCGCTCATTTTAACTAATACTACCTCCGTCCCGCTAAGATTGTCCCATTTTACCATTTCGGTCCGTCCCACTAAGATTGTCTCATACCTTATTTGGTAAAGTTTGTGTGGCTCTAAATCATTCTTACTTTATTCTTACTTTATCAATTCAATATCAACCACATAAACCACTTTTTATAGATTTGCGTGTCACTCCCTCTTGTCCCATTGTTAGTGGGACGGAGGGAGTAACTACAATGTCAAAATCCTTATAGTAAAGAATAGAGTTGCAACCTGAAGTCATGAAGATGGTATAATTATAGAAACTACGTAACCACGATCATTTAAATAAAAAAGACAAGATGAAAGGTATTCAAATAAAATCCGAAAAACTATTCAAGTTTTCCATCATTTCCACTGGAGCCAAAGACTCACTATTTATTGGCTTGGGAATATAATGAAATAAAGCAAAATGACTCGCTAAACTGTCTGCGCTTCTTTGTTGTGAAGCAGAAACCAATCCATGCAATTTTCAACGTGATTTTCATCATGGGTCATCCGGAAACAGTCTTTGTACTTTAGTACAGAGGTAAGGCTGCCACATCCGGCCCCCTAACCCGACCATAGGTGGGAGCCTTTGCGGAACAAGGGTGATGTTGTTGTATCTGATCATTCAAGTGTTTGTATATTCACTCATTTTAACTTATTTCTTGAATTTTATATAATTATGGTTAAATTAATATTAGTGGCAAATCTGGAAATTAAATGAAGCTAGCCAATGTTATGTTACATAAGCCCGGCAAAACAAGTTAATCACATAAACTTTTACTCTTATCTAACCCTATGTAATCTCCTCACTTGACTTCGCGTGGTTTTTATTAATGCTGAAAGTTCATAGTTGAGATTCACTCAGATGAGAGAGTCAGCCAGAGAAACCTTTCCATAAACAAAAAGAGAAGAACAGAGCATAAAGAGGACATAGAGAGTGTATAACAAGAATCATGTGTTGTGGAAATATTATGTTAACATATTTCCTAGGTATATTATATAACCCAAACCAAATACCACTCCAGTGATACCCAGACATAATCAATAAATTTTTAAAGGGGCCTAGTTTGTACACCCCACATTAAGACTTCCCACACTTTCCACAAACCAGTTTTAAAGCTAGAGTAAAAATTTGATCCCGTTACATTAAAATGTACCTATATGGCTATGGCTATACGATATATACTCAGCTTTTGTCATATCCTCGTTGTCTAACTAGTGTTAATTGCATATAACAAAAGTGTACCACTGACTCACTGATTCCTATTTCAATATAACTATGAAGAATAGAACCAATGCTTAACAATGATACTCTAATGAATGTAATGATAATATATATGATGCAACTCAACCATCCTTAACATCTTACATTTTTTTAGGTCGATCAATCATCTATGTTTACCTTAAATCACATTCACAGAAGACTCAAAATATCATATACAATCACCAAAATCTCAAAAGGAGTTTCAATAGCTAGCTGGAAAATGTAATGAGAACAAATAGCGAGAAACACTACCATGGTTGAAGCCATAAAATGCACTTGCAGTGCCACCCACAGCAGAACCAATCTAGCTCATCCCAGCACAAGAAATACATAAGAGCATAAACCAAAAGAAGAACAAGAGATGCATAAACTAGGTCTATATGCACACACATTTAATGGTGAATGTGTACCATAGAAAAGCTGTCTCTTATAAGCGGTGCAACTGTCCACTGGCTAGTCTCCTATTATGAGTAATAGATCATCAGAATTATGTACTAAAGTATCAAGAGAAATTCAAACTCAAAACAATAAGAAAATGAAAATAAAATTTGAGGGACCTTACCATCTCATTGGAGAGAGGACCAGCACAATGTGCACATCTGACTCTATTTAAAAGGCTATGGTTTGATTGCATTGTCGTCTTATCCATTTATTCATTCACCAACAAGATGTATCCAATTTTCCAGATCTTGAGAACTTTAATAGGGAACAGTTAACGAGTCAATAAAATCAGATGCAAGCAGCCACAGAACTGGAAAATCAAATAGCTTGTGTCATCAAATGGACAAATTTTTCTAGGTCAAGACTGAACCAAAGAAGAATACAATAACATTAATGTAAAAAAAATGGCAGCTACCAAAATTAAAAGTCAAACTACTCAAACATCTCAAATTCACTACATAAACATCAGCTAGAAAAATTAAAAACAGCAGCTGAAACTAAAAGTAAAACAATAATATGAATGGATGCCTTAAGAAGGGTGACGACTGAAAGCTGAATAGCAAATCACAGATTGAGGAGTGAATGTGGTAGCCGGCAGGCCATGACTAGTGTCAATGCATCGTGTGGCAGGGGATTAGGGCGGCGTATCTACTGTCTGCTGAAACCCGGATGAATTGCGACCTGCTGAATGCAAGAATCGACTGGAAGAGGAGGCACTACACATATTTGGGCTAATATTTGTTTTAAATTTAAGCCTTTGGACAAGCCCAGATAAGCCTTTGGCCTATACTCCCTCCGTCCCACTAAGATTGTCCTATCTTTCCTTTTTGCTCCGTCGCACTAAGATTGGCCCATAACAAATTTGGTAACATTTGTGTGGTCCTACATCATTCTTACTTTATTAATTCAATATTAACCACTTAAACCCACTTTTCTTAATAATTGTACCACCTCATCATGTCTCAATGTTACTGGGATGGAGGTAATACTATTTTTTTCAGTGAGCCTGGGCTCTGACTGGCCATAGGCCTGATCCGCCTTGTGTTATGAATCATACAGAGTAAAATACTTATCAAGTACTAGTACTTCACTACTTTTCAGCGATCCGCCTTGTGTGATTCACTATTTTCAGCGATCCACCTTGTGTGATTCACTATTTTATAGAACATGCTACAAATTTTAAGTATACAAGGTTTTAAGGTTTCAGCATGCCCATTGTGTGTGCATATACATGGATGGAATGGGTCATGAGTCATGACCATTTGTTAGGTTCAAAAAATCAAAATCTGCAACAAGTAGCAGAGTAGTCCCATCTACGTTTTACATATCTGTTGAGAATTTGGTAGCCATTGTGCTCTCTTTTTATACTTAACTATCCACCCATTCTACTGTCAGGATGCAATGCATCTGGATTTATTGTCCTGGACCGTAAGAGGTCTGGTCAAAGGTGTCATACTTCTAGGTGGTCTTCATGTCCCAAAGCTACTGTAGCTGAATGGTTGTAAGGTTCCATTTTTGGACTACATTCTTGGTATTGGTGGCACGGCGTCACTAATTTTTAATGGATTGTAAATTATTGATCCGAGGTAAAAGTTCTCGTCCACTATTCTCCAGTCATCATAAATTGTTTTTAATCTTTTGTTCTATATATCCAACTTTTATCAAAAAAAATCCACTATGGGTCATCCGGAAACAGTCTCTCTGTGCTTTAGTACAGGGGTAAGACTGCGTACATCCGACTCCCCCCTACCCCACCGTAAGTGGGAGCCTTTGAGGCATTGGGGTAAGTAAATGAAAATGAAATGATCCAACTTTAATCAAATTTGAGTTTTTTGTGATTTTATAAAAAAGAAAAATGTAGCTTTGGATTATGTAAACTTCATTTACTAAAAATAATCTTAGTATTTACACAGATCAATTAACTTTATGGACAGTCAAACAACTTAAACCGCATGAGAACCTTTGCATGGGACGGAAGGAGTATATGTTTGTGTACAGTCGAGTAATGTACCATGACTTGAATCATGTCTCACTTTGCAAATTTACAATAAACTCAATCAGAGAATATGTTTGGTCTTCATGTCCCAAAGCTACTGTAGCTGAATGGTTGTAAGGTTCCATTTTTGGACTACATTCTTGGTATCAGTGGCACGGCGTCACTAATTTTTAATGGATTGTAAATTATTGATCCGAGGTAAAAGTTCTCGTCCACTATTCTCAAGTCATCATAAATTGTTTTTAATCTTTTATTCTATATATCCAACTTTTATCAAAAAAAAAATCACTATGGGTCGTCCGGAAACAGTCTCTCTGTGCTTTAGTACAGGGGTAAGACTGCGTACATCCGACTCCCCCCTACTCCACCGTAAGTGGGAGCCTTTGCGGCATTGGGGTAAGTAAATGAAAATGAGATGATCCAACTTTTATCAAATTTGAGTTTTTTGTGATTTTATAAAAAAGAATAATGTAGCTTTGGATTGTGTAAACTTTATTTACTAAAAATAATCTTAGTATTTACACAGATCAATTAACTTTATGGTCAGTCAAACATCTTAAACCGCATGAGAACCTTTGCATGGGACGGAAGGAGTATATGTTTGTGTACAGTCGAGTAATGTACCATGACTTGAATCATGTCTCACTTTGCAAATTTACAACAAACTCAATCAGAGAATATGTTTGGTCTTCATGTCCCAAAGCTACTGTAGCTGAATGGTTGTAAGGTTCCATTTTTGGACTACATTTTTGGTATCAGTGGCACGGCGTCACTAATTTTTAATGGATTGTAAATTATTGATCCGAGGTAAAAGTTCTCGTCCACTATTCTCCAGTCATCATAAATTGTTTTTAATCTTTTATTCTATATATCCAACTTTTATCAAAAAAAAATTCACTATGGGTCGTCCGGAAACAGTCTCTCTGTGCTTTAGTACAGGGGTAAGACTGCGTACATCCGACTCCCCCTTACCCCACCGTAAGTGGGAGCCTTTGCGGCATTGGGTTAAGTAAATGAAAATGAAATGATCCAACTTTTATCAAATTTGAGTTTTTTGTGATTTTATAAAAAAGAATAATGTAGCTTTGGATTATGTAAACTTTATTTACTAAAAATAATCTTAGTATTTACACAGATCAATTAACTTTATGGTCAGTCAAACATCTTAAACCGCATGAGAACCTTTACATGGGACAGAAGGAGTATATGTTTGTGTACAGTTGAGTAATGTACCATGACTTGAATCATGTCTCACTTTGCAAATTTACAACAAACTCAATCACAGAATATAAAAAATCAAGGCTAATAGAAATTTTAAAAAAAAAGTGCTTGATCACTTGTGAATGATACACAACTTTAAATTACACTTAGATCGAGAATACTCTGTATAATCAACAAAACTCACAATATGGAAACCAATCATAAGCTGATCTATCAATCATCTAACAATTAGGTTTCCTAGTGGAATATAGAATCTTATGTTTGAGAATACTTGAGAAGTTGAAGCAGCGAAGAAATTGTCATACCTGATTACAGAAGAATGGATTGCCGAAAAGTCTATCGCCAGCTCTGGTGAGAAGTTGTGGAAGCAGAGGGAAGCTTCTCAATGGTGTAGACCGTAGATGCTCAGTTAATTTGTATGGGTTGATCAATTAAATTTGGATCATCAGTAATAAAGCCCATGTAGAATTGTCCAATAAGGAAGGGGCCGTTATCACCACTGCTTGGCCCATCGGCCCATCCTGGGTTTCCCCCCTTTTTCATCCCTTCGTTTTTTCCGACTGAATTTTGAAGTCTCAAACACATCGGCGGCCACTGTCTCATTTCTCACAGCGCTTCCATCGATCGCTCGAAGAGTACTCTCACTCACTTTCTTTCTGCCATTTCTAATCCTTGATTCAATTCTTATAAGATCTTTCGTTGCAGCTTGGAAACGCCTCCGTGAAACCCTAGGCGTATACTGTACTGTCGAGTGTTGAAGACTCGAATTTCACTGATATGGAGTGGAATCCTGAAACCCTACAGTTCCTCTCCCAATGCTTCCTCAACACGCTCTCTCCGATGCCACAGCCTCGCCGCCAAGCTGAGGCGGGCCTTGCGGATGCGGCTGAAAAGCCTAACTACGGCCTGGTGGTGCTCCGCCTAGTGGCCGAGCCTTCTGTTGATGAGCAGATTCGACAAGCGGCTGCTGTCAACTTCAAGAACCACCTCAAGGCGAGGTGGTCGCCGGCTCCTTCTTCTGGACATAATGCGCCGAGTGTGGCTCCTATTGCGGACGAGGAGAAGGAGCAGATCAAAGGTTTGATTGTTTCACTGATGGTTAATGCATCTCCCAGGATACAGTCTCAGCTTAGTGAAGCTCTGACTGTGATAGGTAAGCACGATTTTCCTAAAGCTTGGCCTAGTTTGTTGCCTCAGCTCGTTCTGAGTCTTGATAAGTTGAGCCAGGCAAATGATTATGCATCTGTTAATGGGGTGCTTACCACCCTTCACTCCTTGTTTAACAAATTCCGGTATCAGTTTAAGACCAATGAGTTGCTCCTTGATCTCAAATACTGCCTTGATAATTTTGCGAAGCCATTGTTAGATGTTTTTAAGCGCACTGCAAATGTGATAGACCGGGCCATGGAGTCTGGCTCTGCTACTGCACCAACCCTGAAGCCATACATAGAATCTCAGAGATTGTGCTGTGAGATATTCTATTCTTTGAATTTTCAGGAATTGCCTGAATTTTTTGAGGATCATATGAATGAATGGATGATTGAGTTTAAAAAATATCTTACTGTGAAGTATCCAGTTCTTGAAGACAGTAGCAATGATGGGCTTGCAGTTGTTGATGGTCTACGGTCTGCAGTCTGTGAATGCATCAGCCTTTATATGGAGAAGGAGGAGGAATTGTTTCAAGGGTATTTAAGTGGATTTGTGGAGGCTGTATGGAGTCTTCTTGTAGCTTCATCGGCATCCTCCAGTAGGGAACAACTGACTGTCACTGCAATTAAGTTCTTGACAATTGTTAGCACTAGTGTTCATCACACACTGTTTGCACGAGATGACATTCTAGAGAATATTTGCCAAAGTATCGTCATTCCTAATGTAATGTTAAGGGATGAAGATGAGGAGCTGTTTGAGATGAACTATGTTGAGTTCATAAGGAGGGATATGGAAGGAAGTGATCTTGACACTAGGAGGAGGATTGCATGTGAACTACTCAAGGGTGTTGCTACTCATTACAAGGAAAAAGTCACAGAAAAGGTATCCCAGCAGATAACTAATTGTCTGGCCATGTTTACTCAGAATCCAACTGCGAATTGGAAATTCAAAGACTGTGCTATCTATTTAGTTGTCTCCCTGGCCACTAAAAAGGCAGGTGGTACTTCAGTGTCAACTGACCTGGTAAACGTGGAGAGCTATTTTGGATCTGTTATTGTTCCAGAGCTCCAAAGTCAGGATGTGAATGCCTTTCCAATATTGAAGGCGGGTGCTTTAAAGTTCTTCACCATGTTTAGAAATCTGATACCAAAGCATGTTGCATTGGCACTGTTTCCAGATGTCGTTCGTTTCCTTGGTGCAGACTCCAATGTGGTTCATTCTTATGCCGCAAGTTGTGTTGAAAAGCTGTTACTGGTCAAAGATGATGGTGCAAGAGCAAGGTATACTTCATCTGATATTAGTCCCTTTTTGCTAGTCTTGATGACCAATCTTTTTAATGCCTTAAAAAAGCCAGAATCTGAAGAGAATCAATACATTATGAAGTGTATTATGCGTGTGCTTGGGGTTGCTGAGATCTCTCGTGAAGTGGCTTTGCCGTGCATAGCTGGTCTTACTCAAATCCTGATCGTAGTATGTGGGAATCCAAAAAGCCCTGTTTTCAACCACTACCTATTTGAGTCGGTGGCTGTTCTGATCAGAAGGGCCTGTGAGAGGGATCCATCTCTCATATCTGCTTTAGAAGAAAACTTGTTCCAATCCCTTCAAATAATCTTGGAGAGAGATGTGAGCGAGTTCTTTCCTTATGCATTTCAGCTTCTGGCTCAGCTTGTTGAGTTGAATAAGCCTCCTATTCCACAACTCTACATGCAGATATTTGAAGTTCTCCTTTCACCTGAATCCTGGAAAAAAACTGCAAATGTTCCTGCTCTAGTCCGGTTGCTCCAGGCATTTCTTCGAAAAGCACCCAGTGAACTTAATCAACAAGGAAGGTTGTCAAATGTCCTGGGCATATTTAACACACTGATAATTTCTCCAAGCACAGATGAACAGGGGTTCTATGTGTTGAATACAGTCATTGAAAACCTTGGGTTTGATGTTGTCTCACCATATGTGGGCCATATCTGGGCTGCCTTATTCAAACGGCTGCAGGAAAAACGAACAGTGAAGTTCGTGAAGAATCTTGTGATATTTATGTCTCTTTTCCTGGTCAAGCATGGTTCTCAGAATCTTGCAGCTTCAATTGATGCTATTCAAGCAAATTTATTTCGTACAATTGTAGAACAATTTTGGGTACCTAACCTCAAACTAATCACAGGATCAGTTGAGCTCAAGTTAACTGCAGTTGCTTCGACTAAACTTATATGTGAATCCCCGTCGTTTTTGGATTCTGGGCTTTGGGGAAAGATGCTGGATAGTATAGTCACTCTTCTCTCTAAATCAGAGGACGAGAGAGTGGAGGAAGAACAAGAAGTTCCAGATTTTGGGGGGGAGACTGGATATAGTGCTACTTTCGTTCATTTATACAATGCTGGGAAGAGGGAAGAAGACCCACTAGTAGAAATACGGGATCCAAAATTATTCTTTGTTACATCCTTGGCTAATCTATGTGCTCATTCCCCTGGCCAGTACACACAGTTTATAAGGGATAATCTCCTCCCTGTAAACCAGGAAGCGCTACTTCGTATGTGCAGCTCATATAATGTAGCAATAGTTTGAGTGCACAAGGCATTACATGGTATGCTCTTCCTTTCACCCATATGCAACTGCTGTTTCTGCTTTTGTGCTTTAAATAACGCTTATGTTCTTACAACTGATTGTGTGTCATCATTAGTGACATTACTTGCTTTATTTATCATATACTATGTTGTTTCTGAACTCATTGTTGAAATTCACCCTATATGATGTTATATAGAAACTTTGGTTTAAAACTGTAGTTGTTATCAGGTTGCTATTCTCCCTTTTGGTCCTCAACCATCAACATATAGCAAAAAATGAAACACAAACGAGAGCAAAGATAAACAAAAACCAAGGACACACAAATGAAAAAGAAAGATCTTAATGAACATGAACTAGCAGATTCCCTACTCTTTTATCCTCCTCTTCATCCTTCCTACCAGCTTTTTCCCTGACCCATGGTGAGTGGAGTGTGCTTAGAACATTGGAGCATAAGTCACACTTAAGAATAAGTAACTTTAATAAACCAACCGTAAGTGCCTCATGTAAATGAATGCTTTAAATGCTAAATATAATATATTTATCAAGTACATTCACTCAAACTAATAACTCTGATTTCATATGTTGATTCATGTTAGCTGAACCCAAACTCTTTGGTACTAAGGCTTGGATATTGTTGTTGTACTCAAACTAATAGCTCATCTTAATTTATACTTATGTATAATGTACTCCGTCAAATGTTGATAATGTATATTCACTCAACATATCATCACTCAAGCAACTTCAAGGTAAAGTTTTAATGTGTTTCATTATATTGACTTAAATTTCATTCTAACACTAACCATTGCAATTGGTAAAACTAGTGTTGGGGGGGGGGGGGGGGGTACTTGAATCCCATATAACGTCATTATAGTGTTTACTTCACAAGTAAATATACGACAAGTTTGAATTATATCTATCAGTTTTTATTTGCTTTCAATCAAACTAATAAATACTCCCTCCGTCCCATTGGACTTTGCCAAATTTCCCTTTCTGGTTGTCCCAAAAAACTTTCCCACTTTCCTATTAAAGCAATTAATTTGTGGTTCTACACATTTCTCTCTCTGCACAAATCTCAACCACGCAGTGTTTACTATTCTTATTTCTTACCAACTTTGCACTTGGCAAAGTCCACCGGGACAGAGGTAGTATTGAATAGTGTAGAAAATTGTCTATGAATCAAGATTTTACATCTTGACCTGATTGTTTTATACACCATATAATTACTCGTGAATATTCAGATGAGGTACTGCAAAAAGGATATTAAAATAAGGTATACACTTGCACACAAACAATACTTTGCATCACTTTATGAGGGGCAATATGTGTGCACTATGTAGTAGTAAAATACAGAAAATGAGGGGCAACGCTCTCCATATTCCTCTAGATACTCCTAGATATTGAACAACATTATTGAACATGCTACAACTTTTAATGTTAATGCAAAATTTCATGACATATATATGACCATTGAATGTCCATTATATATTGATGGGGGTGGGTCATGACCATTTGTTATGTTCAAAGAAGCAAAATGTGCAACTGGTTGCAGAACAGGCCCATCTAGTTTTTACATATTGTGCCTTGTGTTGTACTGCTGTGAACTGTTAGCCATTTTGCTCTCTCTTGTATGCCTAACTGTCCACTCATTGTACTGTCAGGCTGCCATGTATCTGGATATGTTGTCGCGGATTGTACAAGATGTGGTCACAGGTGTCATACATGTAGGTGGTCTTTGTGTCCCAAATTTACGGTAGCTGAATGGTCGTGAGGTTCCCGTTTTGGACTACATTTTTTGTGGCAGTGGCTTGGCGCCGCTAGTTTGGATTCGATTGGGGACATTGTTGTTCCGCTGCCATTATTGAGTCTGGCGTACATGCTTTTCAAGGCAAATTTTCTTTGTATGCAAGGTCCTTTATTTTCTAGTTGATCAAGTCAATGAGACGGGTCTATAATTCTATATCTTGTGTAGTGGTTTTGGTCGGAGGTTTTGGTTAAATCCTGGAGATATATAAATATATGCCATGCTACCCTTACTAGAGAGAGTTCGTTTAGTGTCATATACCTATATGTGTGTAGCTCTTATATCATATATAAGGACCCCACCAGGAATGAGAACTGGGCCATTTGGTCATAAAATTGAGGATTGTATTTATAATCAATGAAGGCACTGGTTCTCATTTTAGTTTTAGAAGATTAAAATAAAAATTAAAAAATATGAATAAATAGAAAATATGATAAAGAAAATGAGAAAGTTGAAAGGATACATAGGCACATAGCTACTTCCTTACCACTAATCCGGTTATTTGATAAAAATAAACCTTTAAGATTTAGAGCTTGTTTGGTAGCACGAAAATCAGCTGATTTGGCTGATTCTGTTGAAATTTATGAAGTTCTGGTTGTAGTCATGGACCCGGACCGGGCCGGTTCCGGTTCCGGGCCCGGCCGGGCTTTTTTTTTTGGGAAGGAAGGCCCGGGACCGGCCCGGGTAGCCACCGGGTCCGGGTCCGGGCCGGGCCGGGCCTCCGGTTCGGTTATAATTTTTTTTTTTTTTTTTTGCTTTCCTAACCCCCCACTCACCCCCACACCCCCCAAACCCCCAAACCCCTCCTAACCATCAAGCCCAACTTGGCTAACCCCAAAAAAAGAAAAAAAAATTAAAAAAAAAAAATCATTTCGGCCCGGGCCCGGGCCCGACCCGGCCGGGCCGGTTCGCCAAATACAAGGCCCGAGCCCGGACCCGCCCACCCCACCGGGCCTAGGCCCGACCCGGACCCGGACCCGAGAACCGGGCCGGTTCCGGGCTCGCACAGTGGCGGGCCGGTCCCGGGCCGGGCGGCCCGAACCGGGTCCATGCCTATCTGGTTGCATTGGCTGATTCAACATTTAAGAGAAAAAAAATAAATTTTTTTTAATAAAATAAAGAAAAAATTATACATAGTATGTAAAAATAGCTAAAATAATCATCTACAGTAACTTCAGTCAAAACAGTCAAAAAAATAATTTCAACATTACTTTTTTTGCTTATTACACAATTCAGCGCGCAAAAGCAAAAATTACGTGTTTGGTGAAAAAGTTGGCTGATAAGCCGAAAATAGTGGTTCCAAACGGCCTCTTATTGTTCTAAATTAATGTATCTTCTATTCTTCTTCATTGAATCGATAAACTGTTTTTAGTGAAAGATATAAACCACCTGTGATCGACCTTTCTTTAAAGTATTGTATGGGTGTAAAAAGTAAAAAACCTTGTCTCTTGAATCTCTTTTCTCATGCTGCGTCAAAGGCTCTACAAGGATTAGCATCCTTGCAACACTAAAGTAAGAACATACTCGATCCAAACTGATTTTTGCAAACATCTGTCCCATTGTATATTTATGCCATTATAGGATGATTTTATAGATATTTCACTTTGATTGATTGATTTCAATTTGATATTGAACCATTTAAATAGACTAGATTAGATTTATTTAATAGTAAAATACAATTAACACATATCTTTATATCAAGCTAAACACAATCATACTTCATCAAACTTAAGCAAATTATATCAGGCAAGACCAGAAAAGTCAGAAATGAATCTCGTGCAAGATTATTTTTTGTAAGATTAAAGATATTTTTACTTGGACTTTTTAGTCCCAGATCAGAACAGCAATTTACAATCCAAGTAAAAACATTGACTTTTTCATAGACCCATTAAGGCTACCCAAAATAAAAAACAAAAAAAAAATTATTGAATATTAGTATTCTCGTTAACAAAGTTTCCTTTTACATCATTCCATGCTTTCCATATATTCTCTATCACCTTTTGAATCACATTTTTCAATCTTTATAATCATGTAATAGAGCATTATTGACGTTAAATGATACATGAACATATCATATCAGACAATGCAATAAGATACTCCGTATGAGAGTATATCATACTATTTCCGTATTTTAATGTTTGTTACACTTTCCTCTTTTGATAAGTTTTTTCTTTACGAAAACCAATTACCCTTACTTTTTCTACTTTTTATCTTCTTTTTCATACTTCTACACTTTTTCTTCTACTTTTTTTTGCATTATTCGTTAATCCTATTATTTCATCCTCAAAGGAGTCTAAAATAGTGTTATTATTCATGCCGAGAGCTTGATTACCATCTATTCTAGCTCCGGTCGCCCCGGACCTATTTTGAGCTCAAAATGAACCTACCAACTACAAAACAAGTTGATCATAAAGCAGCACATCAATAAAAACCCCTAAGTAATGATTTAACACATTGGTCTATATACAAGATTATATTATGCTTAAACTAGAAGAGAAAAGAAAACGGAACATTTATTAAATCATCAACAGGGCTTGTAGCGTCTCACAGAAACGTTATCTGCCCAGCAATATCAAATACAATGACCATAAACAATAGAACAGCTAAGGAAATATCTACACAAGAGATCCGAACAACCCTAACAATGCAAAGCCAGCTAAAAGCACAAAGCTCCCCGGTAACATGTCAGGTGAGAAAGAGGTGGCTATTTGGATGGTAAAGTTACAATTCGATTGCGATATGTTCATGTCAGTCACCTCTGCTAGACCTTGAAAATTGCAGCTATCCTCGTCTTGGTTCTGCACCTGGAAGTACATATTAAATGCATAGGATGCATTCCCATTTGCGTCCAACCCATTGCACGAAGATCCATAGCCAAGCGCCGTGCAATCCGAAAACGTGCAAGCGTAGTTGATATTTTCGGCGAGTTTGCTCAAATCCTTGGCATCCTTTTTAAAGCTGCACCATTTACTTTTGAGGTACTGCACATCTTGTGCGCCCACGAGAAGTTTCTCCTGTCCTTGACCAAAAAGGTCCATCGCGAACTTTGGCTGCCCGTCGTACCGAAATATTCCCCAGTGGCGCTCAAAGTCACCCGGTGCAATGCTCTTAGCATCCTCATCAATGAGCCCAAACAAGTACACCTCTATGTACCCAGGCCGAAGGGGCGTTCCTTTATTAGCTGCCAGTCTTTGTAAAAGTCCTTTGTAGAATCTGTAGGCTAAATTGACATTCGCATTAATGTTACCTTCAGTGGGCCACCCCACTTCCCCTACCAAAATCTGCATTTGACCATACCCGGCTGCCTTTAGGGCCGAAACCAGCGTGTCAAAGTTGGCATCAAATACATTAGTGTATTGGATCCCATTATCGAGTACCGGTGTGCTCCCACCATCAAAGAAAGCATAGTCGACTGGGAAGTCGGGATTTGCATAGAGACTTAAGAAGGGGTATATGTTCACAGTGAAGGGTGCTTGGTTCTGGTTCAAGAATTGAACAATCTGGCTCATCTGTGGATTAATATCTTTCCGAAACCTGCCGGCTGAAGGTACAGGGTTATCTGTAGGAGAGTTATACACATCAGCATTTAAGGGAACGGTAGCCTTAATGTTGTCCCCATACCCGGCCTTGTTCAGAGCAGTTTGAATATTTTGAAGTGCCGGAAAGGTTGTGTTAAGGAAGGAGTTATTGTAGGAAGTGAGGAAAGGCTCGTTACCAACAGCAACATATCTGCAAACATGTTGAGAAGCAAAACAAGATTAGGAAACTTTTACGCTTGGTAATCCAACAAATTAAAAGAAAAGTTAACACCATGGTTAGTGTTAAGTGTCTCATATTTGATATTCAGGAGGTTTGTGTCTAAATTATAAGTACTTCGTATGAGTGATGCTACAACTAATGTGATATCTGTGGTGTGTTTGCTTGTTTGGCACTTAGCTCATTCGGACCGGGTTTATTCGTTATCGGCCCGTCAAACTATCCAGCCTAATTTTGGCTGGAGTGTATTAACGATCCCATGAGATTGAGAGGTCGGTTAAGTGTCCCACATCGGATTGTCTAGCCCAATTTAGGCCACCAGACTGGGGGCATGGAAACTGTTCCATCACGGACTGAGGCAGCGTGTCAAGTGTCCCAAATCAGATTGAAATTAGATTGTCCAACCCAATTCAGGAAAAAGATCGAGGGGTGTGTTAAGGGTACCGCAAGTCCACAATATTTACTACATTTGTGTCTAATATATAAGTATACGATAAGCTCTTTGGGGGTAAGGGGCCTAATTTAAGAATTAGTCGTAATCATTATTTATTTGGCTAACCTAACAATGGCTTGTGCAAATATAACTGTCCGCAAGAGATGACACTGTCACTTGACTTTCATCACTACTATCAGATAGAAGACTGATCCACAAAGCAATTCATATAGTCATGACAAGTTGAGGGAATCACAAAGGAGGACTCATTTTTGTAAAATGAAAGCAACTTGTTAACAGGGGTGACTGAATCATATCTTTTTTAACACTAGTGCAGAAGAGAATGAGATCGTATCTTTGTGTTTAAATGATTCTGTAAGTTACACAGTTAGACTACCAGATTTAGTTCTTGGCTATTCATTTAGACAGAATGACTTTTATGATCTTTTTAGTTCCAGTCATTTGGTCTTTCATGAACAAATCTATCTGTTATCGATAAATATTGAAGAACAAAAGAGAAACAGAATTCATCATGTGTCGAGTTTTGGTCCAAGACAACCATGTTGAGTTTTCATTTCTATAGTAGTTCTTGACAGAGAATATACTTATTAGTTCACCAATGAAAAAATCAAGAAAGAAAATGACAGTCAAGATGGCAAAATTGAAAGTCAATGGCTAAATGTTCATTTACATGATATTTTATGCCTAAATATGGCATTAACTTGTATATTAACCAAAAGGTTCCAAAATTACGATTAACAAATGCAATGCTAGATAAAAGCTTTCTATTAGAATCCAGTAGGGAAATGTTTAGTAAGCGGTAATATAATGCAACAGAATCCAGTAGAATTTCTATTAGAAGTTCCATTTAATTTATAACAGCTTGCCAAACACACCAAATCCACAGCTAGACAAATTATTTCTATTTAAGGCACTTGAGCAATGTTTCATACGCTGAAATGTAAATGGAATTCTTTCATAATAGAAATTTCTACCACAAATTCCAATAATTTTATTAAAGCTTACCAAACACTAACTAAATGTTAGCTCCAAAAACGAAAATAAAACCAGAAAGCAAAAAAAAAACTATCGCGATCTCAGATATGTACTCGACATAAATGAGATGCCAAAAAAAGCATACTTGAAGTAAAGCTGATTCAAACTAAATTTCCTAAAGTAGTTTAGATTGGAGAAGTCAAAGTATAACCCTTAAATTCACACTGGAATGTAGAAATTACAATTTTTCAATCCAATAAATAAACAACCTTAAACTCACTACACTGCCAAATGACATGCTTTTCAAAGACATACTTGTGGACTGCTTTTCCCTTTTTAAGGAAGTTAACACCTAGGTAACTTTCGCAACAAAAAAACATAGATTCTCCCAGAAAATCATCAGATCAAGATACAAACAAGACACAAACAATTCACAAAACACAAACAATTTGGTTTGGAGATCTTAAAAGGGAGGGGAGGGAGGGGTGATTTTTTCTTAATTCACTTCTACATTTAAATGAATGGGAAAATGTGAAAATGAAAGATCGTGTAGAAATACATTATCTGACTAAGCATATATTTATTTTTTAATCAAACTAATTTTTTTAAAAAAAAAGATAAATTAATTAAGGAAAAATGAATCCTTCCCTTCCCCCTCCCCTCCACTCGAAAGTCATCCAACCAAACACACTCTTATACTTCACCAATACAATGATTAAATTTTAGATAACACTCTCTTCATCCTACCTATCTATCTCTTCATTTTAGTGAAAAGATGGTGGGGTTTGAACTCAATCAATGCTCACCAGCCATATAAAAAGCTTCCAATGACCCTGACATTAAATCAGCATACATTTTCTATTCAAAAATGGTGATTCATAAATAATCAATTTCAAACAAAGGAGTATGAAATAAATATATAAAAAAACAAGGAAGAAGAGATGTATACGTTATGTTGACGCCTCCTTTGAATGAGTAACGTGTGATATTACGCTTCACCCATTCCTTAGCCCTGTCATAATCATTCATGGAAAGAAGCTGGTCATTAGGTATGGCAACCATTACTTCAATCCCAGACCCTGCAAGAGCATTCATGGTCGAGCTATCTGCATCAAACAGTTTGACCTTCTGAATCCCATTGTCCTTCAGCATCTGAACCACCTTCTTGGGCGGCAGCTTGTGGGTGGCCATCGTCCCCCAGTTCACCCCCAACCCTTCAACCCCACCACCAGAAATCATCACTGTTATAACTAATAAAATCACAGACACCCAAAACCTAACCATTTCTCCCGTTTCCAAATGACGAATTTCTGTTCAAGAACGGGGCGGGAGGGTTAAAGATCGGATCTTTCTGCTATAAAACTGAGAAATCTGCCGTTTTACTCCCACAGACTAATCTAGAAGAGGGATTCACCCCTGATAAAAGGAAGGAGATTATGATAATCCAGAGAGAAAAACCCAGAGAAACCTCAACTTGAAATAGAGAGGGGAGAGAAGCGTATAATGGGTAGGAGAAACGTGGGGTGTGACTTCAAACGCAACTGTCAAAACGTTGGTTGTACAAAATCTAGGTGTCGCTGTGTGGAAGTCCAGGTAAGGTGTATATTGACCAAAGAAACTGAAATGAAAGCTTCCACAACGGCTCAAGCGCGGAGGGGAGTGCGGGATGAATTTGTCTACCCCATATCCCCACCGATGTCGGTATTTTACGTGGCATTTTTTTTTCTTTTTTTGACATCTACGTGTATGCAACGGTATCATAATTTCACATAAAAAAACTCATCCCATTGTGCATTTTTGCCTTAGATTAGACATAGATGTACTTCTTTAATGTCCATACAAATGTGGTATTTCAACATATACGAAATATGTTACCCAACTATTAATATAAATAAACTTATCGATCACTTTAGCTGTACGATACGAGTACATGTTTTTGTGCACAATAGGCAAATAGCTAGCTAGAGATGCTTATTATGGTTCATAGTATATATATTACTCGTATATTTATTTTAAAAAACATATATGTGCATTATTTGTGTCATATCAAATGTCATAAAAATTACAGTATATGATTTGATATGATTTTTTTAGAAGTTAAATCAATTTTAAACTAAAAACATTTTATATAATTTGAATTTTATTTTTGCCCACTTTTTATGAAAATGCATAAATGATCCTTAAATTACTAACACTATATCATTTTCGTTCCCAAACTAATCAATTCAGTCTTTAAAGTCATTTTTGACTGTCGAGTTTTAACATATGTTTTAACATATGTTTTAAGATCATTACTTAAGTTAATTTACAATTAGGGCAAATTCCTTAGAGTTTGGCTTTGTTTTTATAGTGAAAAGTCCAAATAATTGTTAAAAATGAAAATATAGGAAGAAAAACTAAAAACTTCATAATATTAACCTCAATATTTTTTGAATTCTTGAATTATTTGTATATCCTACATCTTTTTAAAAGTTTTACATTCTAATTTTATATTTTCTTATTTTTTTGTTCCTGGATTTTTTACCATTTTTCAACTATTTATATATTTTGACGTTTATACTATTTTTTTTATTGGTATGGGTTTTTATTAAATTATATCAATTTGCTTAATTTATAGGGAGTGTATATTTTAAAATTGACATTCTACAGCAGGTCATGACGATTGAAATAATTGTGTTCTTAAAGTAATCGTGCTTATGTGACACTTTTTTAATATAAATGTACTCAATTTGAAGAAGAAGAAGAAAAAATAGAAGTATCTTTTTAGACAGTTTCCCATAATTACATGTAGTTAATGTGTAGATATGTAAACTCGCTACTACAATTTAAGACCTAACGTAACATTGGAGATGTAACATACCTGTAAAAGTGTTACATTTTTCTCTAATGTAACACTTTTTAGACCTAATGTAACACTTTCTAGAAGTATAAATGTTACATTAGGGACTATAAAGTGTTACAATAGGTCAAATGCAACATGAGCAAATGTAATGGTAAAAAAGTGTTACATTTTCTCCAATTTAACACTTTTCAGTGCTATTGTAACACTTTTAGGTGATACATTAGATGTTGAAATGTTGTAGTGCTACTGCTTTACATGTTTACATGACAAGATGTTAAATATTGATCGTAAATTTAGCGGTAAAAATGAAAAAAAAAAACATACTAATATCCAATAAACAAAACAGAGATTCACAAATACAATCCCGAAGATTGTAAAATTTACTACCAATCAAAAGAAATCAATATTTATGAATTGTAGGAGCGAAAATTTTAATTAATTCAAATAAAGAATAGTCTTAGTTCAGGCACACCCTCAATTATTATCTTTTAACTAGTAACTAGTTTTTCTACGCGCGTTGCGCGATTGGTATATGCCCAACAGACAAATCATTTGCTTTAACAAGTATGTATGAAGTTAGTGGTATAGTTGAATCTATCAAGTAAACATCTATCAAGTAAACATTGGACACAGTGATATCTAATTTCATCTTAATATATCAAGAAATGCAAAAAATGCAGTATTCAAATGTAGCATCTTACAATGGGTGGGTTACACTTATGCTAAAAAAATTACTCCCTCCGTCCCGTTGGAATGTTCCCGGTTTGACCTACACACATATTAAGAAAATAAACTTACCAGGGGGTAAATTTTACTGTTTGGACACTGTTTTGCACTGTTTGACACTGTTTTGCACTGTTTGACACTATTTTGATGTAGGATAACTTTCCATTTAGGGAAATGAGAACTTTCCATTGGGACATCCAAAAAAGGAAAGTGAGAACATTCCAACGGGACGGAGGTAGGATATAATCTTATGGTATGAAGTAGAATTATGTCCTGCACGAGAGAGATTTAAAAAGTTATGCTAAGGAGTAAGGAGTATAACAATATCTTTTACGGTTAATATAATCATAGTTATCACATTTATCTTTTAAAATAAGAAGTCCTGTCATCTTACTTTTATAATACGAAATCCCCAAAAAGAGTTAAGTGCAAATCAGAAGCATTTCAAGAGCACTAATTTGAGAGGAGCTTTATGATTCTCAAACTTAACCATGTCCTAGAACAGAAGGAAAATTAGGTGTATTAGCATATTTAAACCATGGTTCTAGGCTTTCAAAATTCAAATCATCATAAACAACATGAGGGAAAAACGTTTACCAAAAAGGCAAAAAGTTTATCCTCCTCGTCTTGAAACATCAAGTCAGCAACATTAATATGTCCATTCCTTTTCTTAATTGTATGGCTTTCAACTCCATCTTTTTATTTTCAAAAAAAAAAACTCCATCTTTTAAATTTGAGATTTTACCATTACCTTTACTATGCATAGTTAATCTAATGACCATTCAACAATCCTATGTTACCACTACCGAAACGCAAATCCGTTTCCATATTTCCCTCCACACGTCCAATATGTCAAATTCACTCAAAGACTCAAAGTATATACTCAAACAGATCTCCAAATCTCCAATACTCAAATGAACTGAAACCCAAACTCCAAATATTATGCACTATTAATTTAACTAACCAGGGAACAATCAACTTTTACCACAACTGACAGTCTGAAACTCAAAAAATCCTTCAAGAACTCCTTCACAACGCCAAGATCAAAAATTAACTCAAAAGTGGCATTCACACGGACCTAAACAAGAATAACAAACAAACAAAAATAAAAAGTTGAATGAACTGCATCTCAATCTCCAAAAACTTGTAGAGCATTCAGAGCATCAACATACAAGTACCTTTCAGAAAAGAAACGGACAAAAGTGCCAGTAATTCGTGCTTTTAATGTCTGTGACAACAAATTCTAAAACACAAAGACTAAAACTTTAGTCACCAATCAATCAGCAAACTGTGCTAAAACCCTACTCCGCGAGGCTCTGCAAATTCATAAATAAATCCAATTAGTTCTGTGAAAGACATGATTTTGGAGGCGTTTCAGCCTTTCAAGAACTCGAATATCACGTTGAACATACTGCAGTAAGACACATACTTTTTCTAGTCATTGTCATTGCAAATTCTACCTAAAACATAAGGAACTAACAAGACAGTAGGAGAATATACCATCTTGTTGCTAATTTTCACAAAAAACATATCAAGTAAACCAGTAGATAGTTGTTTAAAATGTTTTATTTTCCCTATGACTTTTAGCACCAGGGAATATTTTCACACATTGAATACTATTTTTACATTTTTTTTAAACCTATTCTCAAATAATCTATTAAATATAGTTACTCTAATTTTCAAATAAAGAACATTGTTCTGTTATGATACTAAAGTATAGAAAAACAAGACCAGTTGTTGGAGTTTACAGGGTGGGTGTAAGCCGTATGCCAAAAATGAAAAATAATATGTCTGTGTGAACAACATTTCGGACACATGAGTAGTTCTATTTATGTTTATTACTCCGAATTATCTACAATAATACGTTGTTTATCTTCACCATATTCAATTCCAATTACAGTTTTCCACCCGCACCCAAAGTTATTAGAGAAGATTCTAATGCAAAGTGAATACCATATTACCTGCCTCAAATTTTATCAAATGACCATTAGAGTACCAACTTAGGTGACGTACCAATTATTTTCTTTATTTTCCAAAACCTTTTAGAAAGTATATATAGTATAGAGACTGTAAGGTAATGATCCAAAACATTTATCTCCAGCTTGAGTGAAAAAATGGATTATGAGCTTATTTATAATATTCTAATTTCAAGGGACAAAGCACTATCTAATATTCATTTATCTCTCAATGTTTATCACATTTTATTATATGCACATTGTTTTTTGCAGAGTTGAGAATGAGTTAAGAAAAAGGTTCAAGTGTCCAGAAAGATGACAATGTAGTATCCAATTGAATGTATTCGATCATATGAATTAAAATTTATACCCATGTTCTCCATGATATCCTATTGAAGTATTGCTACACATTTAACACCAAGAAATCGACACACACACATATGTATATTTATATAAAAACACACAATACTTTCTTTGAATGGATTAGGAAAGAAAATGAAAATTTTGGAAACAACCACAAAAAGAAGAAAACATTATAGGAAGCAGGAGCACTGCCTTGTGCATGCCTGAGTAAACTACTGCCTCAATTTTTTTTTTAAGTTGAACTGATTTATGCAGAGTCAATGTTTTTGCAACACAACTCCAAGTCTGCAAATAAATGGATGCATTATTAACTCTATGCAATTCTTTTTTGTGTCTTAGAGGAATAAATCACCGTAGGTCCACAACAACGTCCGCCTCCTTTTTTTTGTGAAATTTTCAGAACAGTGGAACATCATAATGCAACGCGCATATAACTTCAAAACTAATAGCATACTAATCATGGAGAGTTTATAGCCATGGGTGGAGGTACGGAATATACCATTTAAAGTAAATTGGTAAATCGGTATAAAGTAGATGGTGCTATCCAAGAACACGGGTAAATTGGAAAAATTATTAGTACAAGTATAACCTCACTTTACTTGACTTCCTGATGATTTCAATCATAACGTTGCTTTCATTGAACAACACTCTCCGAGAGATTTTAAAACAACAAAGGATGACTACTCTGAGAAAAAATAATTGATCTTTATTTAAAACAATGTCTTATATTAAACTTTTAAGAAATATGTTGGAGGTATTGGTCCTACCAAGGCCTCCCTTCCACTTTATCATTGACTTGCACCCCATGTTTACTCCCACTTTGATACCCTTGTTTGAATCTTTCCTAACCAATAATATGGTTGTTGACTTCCCTGGAGTGTGCCCCCCTCTTTGATGTCCGCTGCACCCCTCCTTGTACTCTTTTGTTTTAGTCACCCGTGAGTGTACTATTGTTGGTCAGCCTATTATTTATGTAGCTCTCTTCTTTCTTGAGAGAGCAGCCTGCGAGAGATTTCCCAAA